AGATAGTAATTATAATATAGCTAATATAATATATACTGTTAATTATAGAATAATAAGAATAATAAAAATATATAAGAACTATACAATATTAGCATAATGATAAAAGTGACACAACACACACACCACACACACACAAACACAGCAACACACAACAGCACAAACAAACAGCACCACACACACACACACAACGAGTAATATATGAATAAAATAAGATAATAGAAAAACATATAAGTAAGATAATACCGAGTAGAGTAAACAAGACCAGATAAGAATTGAAATAATATAGACATACAAGACACTCATGAACAGAAAATATAAACTATAGATCGAAAACTCAATAAATAGTAATAGTGTAAATAATATAAAACTGAGTATATCAATATAAAACTATAAACAATAATATATGGCATATAATAACTTACGTGAATATATATACAATACCTTATTACATACTATAGATATATAAGATCAGTAATAGTAATATAATAATATAAAATATAACATATAATAACATCTCATAATAAATATACGCACACACAACGCGCGACCACAACACAAACAACCACAAACCAACACACACCACACACCCAACACCACGCAGAATATATAGTAATTAAGTAAATATATAAGCATACCCAAAAATACTAAGTAATACACTACAATAAGATATAACGTAGAGAGATAAATAAATAATAAGAAAGCCTATAATACAAATACGCCCGCCACCCAGACGATATAACATATACACAACCATATGTAATCACACACAACACACACACACACACACACACAACCCACATACCACAACACAACAACAACCTATAAGAAAAAAGCGATATAAATAAAATAATAAAGAAATAATATAAATATAATTAAGAATAATATAAGCATATATAACTCACAGCACACCACACACACACACACACACACACACACAACACACACACAACACAACACACGAAATAAATATATATTAATAGTAATAATTAAGTGATAAATGAAATAATATAATATAACATACCACCACGAGATAATATATGAGATATGTATTATGTAGTATACATTATAGACATTTACATCTAAACTAATACATATTTGTGTTATGTGAGCGTGTGTGGATGTTGTACGCCTGACCTAAATGTAATATATGTGGTATGCATGATATGGTATTATATGTATATGCTTATCATAATATATATATAATAACCTATAGATCAGATATATAAATAGTAATATAGGATAGTATATATATTATTATTAATATAATATATATGTATAATATATATTACACGACACACACACAAACACACCACACACACACCAGCACACACACACACAACACACACCGAATTAAATACTAGATATAAGAGACTAAGATTATATAATTATATATGTATATATAATATATATAGTAGATATATAGAGTATATAGTAATGATGATATATACCTTTAGACTATAGAGAAATATGGATTAATATATAGTTATTATGTCTTATATACTGTGGTGTAGCTTACAATGTGTGGACAAAAAAGGCTGCGATTTGTTGTATATGTGTGTTTTATGTGTATATGTACAAGCACACACATAGTATATGTATCATATATGGTATACATGTAGAGTATACATAATATAATATATATTATAATATATAACTATATAGTATATATGGTAATATACACTAAGTAGATATACTACTATATATATATGTGTTGTGTGTGTGTGTGTGTGTGTGTGTGTGGTGTGAACACACCTGTGTGTGTGTGGTGTTGTGCGTGAGTGTGTGTGTTGTGTTGGTGCGTGTCGTGCGTGTGCGAATGTATGTACGTACATATGTTTGTATGTATATATATATATATGTATGCTTATGTATTGTATATATATATTACACAAATATATGTGTGTCTTATTGTACAATCGCACAACATATATATGTATATGTATGCATATTATATATACAATACCACAATATTCATACACATATAATATATATACATATATATACATATACATATATATATTATATAATATATAATAGATATATATATTATATTACATTTATATTCACACATGTCTATCGCCAGACCGCATATATATAGAGAGATATGTAAAGAGTAATAC